TCGCACCGTTCAAGTACGGATGAACGACGTCCTCTCCCCAAATCAGAACACCACAACTGCAGTACCCCCACACAAGTGTTCTTTTTTCCATTTTACGGAATTACTATCATTCGTAATGTAATCCATCCACGCGTTTCCAGAAAGCGTTACCTTACGACATTGTTCGTTACACCGTTCCTAGTGCATCACTATACTCTGGGAGTTCGATAATCGCAAACACATCAGAGCTGCGGTGAATACCCTTGACACCGCCACCAAATGGGGTGTTCACTGTAGCAGTGTTCAGCAGTCTATACATACATCTCCATTTATCATCTCATTCCTGGTCTTAATCCTATTGTGGGACTCACTGCAAATTCCCACCGCACCTCGTTCACCACCTAAGATGACGTGTTCCAACGAATTGTTCTGGTCTTCAGACTACAAAGTCCTCAGGATACGAGCTTCTGTGAATTTTGGTTTTCCGTCTCGGGAGTGCAAAGTTTGTCCAGACCCAAACGGTGGTCAGTGGGTGCAGGATGAAAGACGGTATACTGGGAACAACAGTCAGGTTATTTTGGAGGAATTTCAAGTGACGAGAAGTGATACTAGTGTTGTGTGCATACATTGTGAGGAGTGTAAGTCGATTGCACCTGCTATTCCCACGCTGTCAAGCGATACACTGATCGCTCTAAACTAGTTGCTGGAGACGCAAAGGTATGCTTTTGTATCAGACTGGTGGGTTTGCACTTATGTCCATTAAAAAAACTCGTACATCTTGAGGAACCACTCCGATGGAACTTTGAGAGTCTCAGCGTAGTTTTGGTCGGATTTTTCAAGATCTAGTGGGGTAAGGAGTGTTCAAGATATGAAACAGAGTTACGATGTGACACCGGAATACTAAGAGCACCTCGACTGACAGCTGTTGTCATCTAGAGCGAGTACACTAGGAAAGAAATACACAGCTGATTAGAACGATTAGAAAGCGCGTCCCAGTAACATGATCAGTGGTACTACTGTACAAGAGCGATCGCCTTCAATGTGCATCCAAAAAAACTCAATCAAACTAGTACCAATTTAAACCCTTAACCTAACCCTTTTAGGCAAAGGCTTTTAGTATATCCTCTGCATTGAACTTCTCCAAACTTTTCAATCATCACTGGGGCAAGGACCCAGTGTGACACGGTACACCATCCACAGATCGTGCACCGCGAGGAGTGGGTCACGTTACACCAGAAGAACACTTAGGTTTTCAGAAGCATTTATCACATTTGAGAAACAGCAGATTGTCCCCACTTAAAATCCAAAAAAACTGTGTTGTTCACATTCCAGAATTGTGCAGATCACTGGAACACAAGGCCATGAGCCGATGATGGGGCCCGCTACTTGGAGATTGCTCGGTTAAGCCGGGAAGACAATATATGAAAGAGCACAAGCAGCATAACGTAACGCGCAAGAGGAAATCCCTCCCACACACAAAACAGTTGTCTGAAATTACCAAGTGAAGTGTGAATAGAACAAAATTGTCGGGCCAAGCGGAACGAGTGGAACCAACAACAAAAGTGATTCAGTGTACAGGTGCTTTTAAAGTACGATGTCAGCTGTTCGGTCTTCTACCCAATCCCAACCCACTTCATAAAATCCCTGTGGTAACACACTACAATTAGTGAGATATCACATGAACGAATATTTACCGCGACCAGTTCGGTTGTTGTTTCGGCAAACAAAACGCATTTTCCGTCTGAGCGAATCACCTTTTTGGTTAAATCAGACGTACGCCTGAGTGTTTTCTCTAGGGACGGTGGTGAAACAGAGAGCTAAGTAGGACAGGCGCGCAGAGCTCCAGAAAGTGGACGATGAGAGAATAAGTTTTGCAGGGATTAGGTGACTGAAAAAAGCAGTGACCAAGGAGCTAGCACCAGAACGTCGACGCCATTCTGACACGGATAACAAGAACGCGGTGTTCCTATCCATATGGCATCGGTCGCCATAAAATCTGCTTCTGGACAAGTATATGAGCAGATGAGCTTCAGCAGGGTCAACAGGCACACGACACTGTCTAACTGTGACAGGCACGAGACGCGAATAAACAGACGGTGGAAAATCATGTGATCATCGCTTTGTGGAGACGTTGATGCCATGGCTGTAGAAATACATAACCGCGTGAGAAAAATCAGACAACCAGACGGTAAGGTAGACAGATGGAAGCTGATCCAACTATTCAAAGCACTTCAGATCATTTCAAAACAAACAGCAGAAAATACAAGTGAACATCCTACCGGCAAAACCAAAATGCCCTGTACTTGACATGGTAGATGCGAACAGAATTATTTGTAAGGATGGCTAGGTGCACTTATGTGCAGTAAAGATATTAATTGAAAAAACGGGATTATTGATTTGCAGCTCGGTCAGAGACAGGCAATCATTATCGAACGCCGAAAAATGGGTTCGGTTTGGCACTAATTAGAAAACAGAATGCTGCTTAACAAATACCTACAAGGCTTTTTTCAAATCATCCCTCGTTTCAAAAATCAATACATTTCTGGAGTGAATGATGCAAGATTTCCCAACAGGAAGTTTCTATGCTATACGTTATATTAACTAGGGCTACGAATGATTTAGTTAGGCTTTATTGAGATTTTCCATTAACTACAATTTCCGCTTTTTAGTCTGTGCTACACGAACTTTTATTTGGGGTTTATGGGACGCATAAACATTAGCCGATGCACCCTCACCATCACTTCCCATCTTCTGTATACACGACCATGAATTGTAAGTCTACCACCATTTTTGTTGAATATTCATAAAAAAAAGAGGGTAGAGATTACCAGAATCGAACCTGGGAGCCAAGACGAGAACCCGGTTGGCCGTACGCACTGCGAGTCGGCAAGTGAACCGATGGTAACCCATATTGTTTCGTAGCTATCTGTAATCTAGTTGGTTTACATTTTAAAATCGACGTTGTCCGCCTGCTGACTGATTTCTGTTCTTATAGTGAAATCCACAAAAGCGAGTCCCGGAAGAGAACAAGCCATCGAAAGTGCATACAATGTTCCGCCCATGGTTTTGTTTAACTTGGATGAAACTGAGAACTCTGGATAATGAGGGGTGTCCAAGAACGTAGCAGCCAAAAAGTACGAAAGAAAGAAAACCAATAAAAGCTAAGTGCGAGATGGCTCCAGTGGTTAGAGCGCGAATTCACTGACCGGAAAGTCCGTAGTTCGAACCCAACCTCTGCCTCTCGACTCCCGTGTCTAGGTTTGAGCAACCTGGCAGTATCCCAGCCCTCATTCTTCCTTCGGATAGCAAGGCAGCTACGCACCGAAAGGATGCTACAGCTGAGCGAGTATATTTTTTATTAAGTGTGATAAAACCAAAGATATCTCCTATCGGAGCCTTTGCTGGAATAGGATAGAGAAGAGTCAACAAAAGTTCCGGGGCTATTATTACAGGGACACTCCTCTTCGTTGGATCTGGATTTCAGACGGGACGGCCCTGGCCGCTCCTGTTTTCTAGCGCCAGAAAATTTACCACAGAGAACCGGATCGTAAATGGTCCCTACAATCCTCCAATCAGGTTATGATCGCAGGTCGGTATTTACGTCTTGACTGAAGTGACCTACTCGAAAACCATTCACATTACCAACCCGTATTGCCTGTTGTCCGTAATATTCCGTAATGTGCTTCACTGTGTGTAACTAGCAACTATCCAAAATGGAAAGCCGATCATTTGAAGTTAATGCAGAATCACTAGTTCAAACCAGTTTGGTTGACACATACAAGTTGCAAAAAGAGATGATAACATAGAGAGTAACCAGGAAGATGATGTGTAAGTTCTGCACAAAATCTGAAAATCATCTTAGTAGTGGAACCTTCTCCCTCGTACTTATGCCACTTAGCACATGCCAGAGAAGTCAGTCTCAATTTGGGTAGGAAGTGGTAGCGCGACGTCTCGATTACCCTTGGACAAACTACAACAACTGAAATAATGTAGGTAGTGTTTTTAGAAATTCAACAATACAGAATGGATTGAGGATGAAATGTTTCCACGAGGTTCCATAGGCTGTTGAGACTAGTCGTTAATGAAACAGCGGTTACGTGGTCAAGCCACACACTCAACAGGCCAACGAGTAATATAACTTTTTCGAATAGTACGGACAGGCTGAAAAGAAGTGATCTTAAAATTTCGAAATAAGTAAGACCTGACTAGCAAGTACTTATTCTATCCGAGAACAGGGATTTCATGAAACAGCCCATTAAAAGTGTGTAGTTGACAAACGGAGATAAGGTGACGATAATGTACAACGGAGTAGTTGTTTGTTTGGAGGACATGTGGAGAGGTAGAGCAGACTAACTCGGGTTCCTGATTTGAATACACACGATGGGAGAGTTACTTTCTAGTCTGTCTACAGCAACCGTGGTTGGCATTGTAAAGATAACTGACTTTGATGGCGCCTGTAAAACCTAGAAAGTTATGTCAAAAGATTTCAAAGGTGTTTCGGCTAAGGGTAACTCAAGGGTGTGCGAATACATGCAGCGGAAGATTCCCCACCATAACCAATTGCACGCTAGTGATCATTGTAGAACAGAATACTGTGATGACGAAGACCCATCACGAGCACAAGTAACGTCAAAAGAACATTTGATTATTACTCTCCAGATACATTGCCAACCCTCAAAAAGAGAATCTCTGCGACAGGCCTATGATATAATGAACTATAGAAAAACAAGTGCAAGGTCGGCAAATTGGCGGTACTGAGTAGCACACAGTACTCCAAATCAAACAGCACTACAAATTAAGGCCATTAAAACAATTACAAGATGGAGCTTAATGTGGAGGAAATGAGTTCCCGAAGCAGATGTTGGACGCACAGATGACAACCTAACAACTACGTCCAACTGAGACGAACAGGAAGCAAAAGCTAAAACCGCTAGTAAACAAAACAGGTCTTGCAACAAAATCCCTAAAGTTCAATCGAGCAAATCAGCATAGCGATTTGTCTGACGAATACAGATGAAGCCTGTAGACAAAACGCTAACAAAGTTTTTCAACTGAAGGTAGTCTATGCTGACAAGCCGCGAAGCGCTTGACGGTTCGACCAGGAGCGACTGGACAGCATTGTGATTAACTCGCAGTTCGGCAATATATAGCGCCACTTTACCACATCACGTGATCACGTGTTGACTGACTGCTTCTACCAGTAGGGAGGTAGCGAATACGGGACTCTCAGGAGTTTGTTACGATGCGCACTGCTAATGATTCCCAATAAAAATGCTGATGTGTAAGTTCTGCACAAAATCTGAAAATCATCTTAGTAGTGGAACCTTCTCCCTCGTACTTATGCCACTTAGCACATGCCAGAGAAGTCAGTCTCAATTTGGGTAGGAAGTGGTAGCGCGACGTCTCGATTACCCTTGGACAAACTACAACAACTGAAATAATGTAGGTAGTGTTTTTAGAAATTCAACAATACAGAATGGATTGAGGATGAAATGTTTCCACGAGGTTCCATAGGCTGTTGAGACTAGTCGTTAATGAAACAGCGGTTACGTGGTCAAGCCACACACTCAACAGGCCAACGAGTAATATAACTTTTTCGAATAGTACGGACAGGCTGAAAAGAAGTGATCTTAAAATTTCGAAATAAGTAAGACCTGACTAGCAAGTACTTATTCTATCCGAGAACAGGGATTTCATGAAACAGCCCATTAAAAGTGTGTAGTTGACAAACGGAGATAAGGTGACGATAATGTACAACGGAGTAGTTGTTTGTTTGGAGGACATGTGGAGAGGTAGAGCAGACTAACTCGGGTTCCTGATTTGAATACACACGATGGGAGAGTTACTTTCTAGTCTGTCTACAGCAACCGTGGTTGGCATTGTAAAGATAACTGACTTTGATGGCGCCTGTAAAACCTAGAAAGTTATGTCAAAAGATTTCAAAGGTGTTTCGGCTAAGGGTAACTCAAGGGTGTGCGAATACATGCAGCGGAAGATTCCCCACCATAACCAATTGCACGCTAGTGATCATTGTAGAACAGAATACTGTGATGACGAAGACCCATCACGAGCACAAGTAACGTCAAAAGAACATTTGATTATTACTCTCCAGATACATTGCCAACCCTCAAAAAGAGAATCTCTGCGACAGGCCTATGATATAATGAACTATAGAAAAACAAGTGCAAGGTCGGCAAATTGGCGGTACTGAGTAGCACACAGTACTCCAAATCAAACAGCACTACAAATTAAGGCCATTAAAACAATTACAAGATGGAGCTTAATGTGGAGGAAATGAGTTCCCGAAGCAGATGTTGGACGCACAGATGACAACCTAACAACTACGTCCAACTGAGACGAACAGGAAGCAAAAGCTAAAACCGCTAGTAAACAAAACAGGTCTTGCAACAAAATGCCTAAAGTTCAATCGAGCAAATCAGCATAGCGATTTGTCTGACGAATACAGATGAAGCCTGTAGACAAAACGCTAACAAAGTTTTTCAACTGAAGGTAGTCTATGCTGACAAGCCGCGAAGCGCTTGACGGTTCGACCAGGAGCGACTGGACAGCATTGTGATTAACTCGCAGTTCGGCAATATATAGCGCCACTTTACCACATCACGTGATCACGTGTTGACTGACTGCTTCTACCAGTAGGGAGGTAGCGAATACGGGACTCTCAGGAGTTTGTTACGATGCGCACTGCTAATGATTCCCAATAAAAATGCAACAGCTGTACAGTGCTGCTCGGCTTTTCAGCACAGACTGGCTTCACTTACAGGACGAAATTTCCATTCGAATTCCAAAAAATATCATCACAATACCAACAATGTACAACCTCATAGGAAGAAATAAATTCACCCGATGAGTGAAACTTTCATATGAGAAGCCGCTGCTCGAGGAGCCAGTCAACACGCGACTACGTGACGTGGATCCAGTGACAGGAGAATGAACGACCGAGACTGAGGATGGTTACCAATTGGGGTGTTGCAAACCGAGGCATTTGAATCAATAAGAATGAGTATCAAAGAGGATAGTCAGGTGAAATTTTCGAGGGGTGATGTAGCTGGTGACTGTGAAGAGATGATTTCAGGATAGAATTACCCTAGCTAGTTGAAGTGTGGATGCCATTTTACAAGACCCCAAAAATAACTAGGACGGGATAGACCAAAAGTGATCACTAAAGAGAGGTGGTCATGACTGACTAGATACAGCAAGAATCAAACACAAACAATTATTCACTTAAACGATTGCTACCTAGATAATACTTCCTCCCAATGAGGCTCACTTAGCCCGTCGCTCAAAAAACAGAGAATCCGACTCCACGTAGTACAGTGCACCAACAAAAAACGCGGCCGGTCTTCAGGATACGGCCCCCGTAAAATAAGTTAGTAACGCAGTCGTTAAGAGTAGACAAACCAACCTTAGTAATTCCATTCCAGTATCATCAATCTTCGAACAAGACTCGAGCAGTAATGTCATAAGTTGTGGACAGTTCTGTCCTAAGTGTTCACACGTGTCGTTCGTCAGGTTTTTGCATCCAGAAAGATTCAGGTATTCTATCAACCGACAGAGTTGTGTGAAGCGCCTAGGCAGAAAAAACAAACAATTGTTACATTTCAGAATCGGCAGAAAAAACTGTCCCAAAAAAGTCCCGAAATAAACATTTGGGGATACTTTTCAGACGCACTCGTTACCTCACACGCTCAGGGACATTCTGAACACCGTAGGCTCTATTGTTGTTCCAAGTGACTCGGCACCGTAGGGAGGTTGTCAAACACTTGAGTAGTTAGGTAAAGTACAAGATTTTGCGAACATTTACGTCCTGTGTATATGAAAAGGTTATCTAAACCTATGCTCGTGTTTTTGACGCTAAATTAACACTTCTGAAAAGGTTGGGAAGCGATACGACTGAAGTACTTGTTAGGACGACTCAACGATATACATTAATTGGCCGCAACTGCGGATACTATGGGCTTTTAGGATATCGCAGAGCCCGACCCTTGCCTCTCGATTTCCCCCGTCTAGGCTTGGGCAACCTGGCAGTATCCCAGCCCTCGTGCTTCCTTCGCGTGGCATGGCAGCTAGGCACCGAAAGGGTGTTACAGCTGACTGGTTTTTAGAGTAGGATATGAGTAGTCACATTCAACATCAACAGCCGAAGGCTGCTAAGTATGAGCCAAAAGACCGATCGAATTCCGATAGGAATACACTTGGTCATTTGTTTCCGAAAAATACGCTTACTGTGGAATAGCTTGAGGAATTTTTAACTCTACAAGTAGCACCGTGTCAAGAAAAAACACCCACACTAATAGTTCGTTCAGAGAACAGGATGGTCCATCGGACACTAATCAGCTACCTGGGAGTGCCTAGAAGCGGTAAACGCGAATCGTCGACTGTGCGTTAAATGACAACACTGCACCCATAAACAGCTAAAAGAAGCCTGAAACGGGTGGTCGGTCATAACGAACGATCCACCATCGAACGTGACCTTGAGGGGCTGCTCGGGTGATTTCACACATTCTGTGATGTCTTCAGAAAACCACGTGTCACGCATTCTGCAGGCCGTATGAGTATCAATAAGAAGAAGAAAGAAGAAGAAAGAAGAAGAAGGAAAGAAGAAGAAAGAACATCCATGTCGGATGTTGGGATACACGGAATATGGCGTAATCTGGCAGCCAGTACAAGACTATATGATGTCTTTATGACTGCCATGCAGACACTGCGTGCCTAAGATTCGACTGTCCGACCTTATGCGATGTAAATGAAGCCTTACTACTGGCTGCACGATGACGAGACAGCTTACTCACTTACTTTGATTTAGCTATTTCCCCCGAGGATAGCAGGCGTACTGGATTCACGAGCAATTATTGAAAACAGCACAACAAGGAGTGGCTTTCATCCACGAACGGCGAGTGAAATAAGCTCGAGTCACGCGGTCACTCAACTCAGCACGACCTGCTACAGCACGGTTGAGGTAAAGTGCTGTAAATGACTGTTGTTGCCGCCGGACAGGCAAAGGATCAGTAGACCCAAATTCTAGTTTTGAGGCTGATTTCTAACCCGATTCAGTTCCATTATATTAACATCCACTACCCTACAACTACATAAAACACCGCCAGGGAAATCACTCAGACCACCTGAAATGCATAAAACCTGAGGATGACATAATGGTAAACATAAAAAAGAACCATATCACTTCAAACGATTGCCAAATTTTTTCTACCTTATTGACGAAGTAGCTGGTTCTATAAAGATAATCCTTAAAGCCGACAGGCACGCCCATAAAAATATGACGAAAGCTTGCGACGACTATTCAGACATCACATTCACTGATAAACGGACCTGATAACCTTATCCAGTTGATCAGTTGTCTTCAGGTATGTGCGTATCCGTTCTCCGAAGACTTCTAACCAGCCTCACATAACGAAACACTGGTTCAGTTTCTAGTTTGGACTACATCTGTCATAATTCACTTTGGTTCTTTTTGACAACCGTGAACCGTGATGGCAGCGGTTTAGGTGGCCATAGCATGTGATAGCAGGCAGTGGCGATTCGAAAAGCAGCGAAGAAATTATTAATAATGAGGGAATAGGTACGACAGCGCCACTTGTCGAGTGACATCATCATGCCGGTGAGTATCTTTGATCATTGGCCCTTACCTCACAAACGACATGCACCAGCACAGCTGAGGCCCATCTTGATGTTTTTGATGCTTTGTTTCTAGGTCACGTCTAGCCCACATAGTGTATTCCAGTGGGAATCTGTCGGTATAGTTGGTGCAGCCGGAACAAGGTACCGATATACTTTGCGTGCACTCTGTTATTTAACTAACAGTTTAACGGCACTCCGCTATCGTTGAAGTAAAAGGTCATTCTGACATCCAGGAATACCACAACTGTGAACCTGCGGAAGACATGAAGGTATTTTAGGGGCTGCTTGCATTTCGCTGAAGACGCGCTGCAATCACCTTAGCCTTGCTATGTCACAGAGACATTGGGGAATTGCACATTGCACATACATTAGGGAATCACCGAGTAAAGACTGGTTTTCATACCATCTTAGATACCGATAGCAAAATTGAAGTGCACACATAAGGCGGACACCGTCGGATAGTGTACGGCAGGTTGCGCACAGACTTTCGAGAAGACCTGACTGGTCTCGGTAGCACGCAATGTCTGCCGGGACCGTGTTTTCTTTCAGGTGCACACTGATGACAGCTACCTATTGTTTGAAGAGTACTTTGCACTACGCTGTAGCGTTCCGAGTGTTCCCGTGATTATGATACAGGGATAAATGACTGACACTGTGAAGCTTGGTACCTTGATTAACAGCGAGTTTACCTGTATTACTGTGCAGGAGATTCAATGGAACAACAGTGACTCGTAACTATTGACTTCGATCATTGCTGCATCGTAGCTATCCTAACCACAAACTGCATTAGTTATACACGTTATAGGAGCTCGAACCTAGTTCCTTAAAGTCCATCCACGCCAAGATTACTAACGAGTGGCGCGATGAAGATGGTAGGCAACCTGGAATTAAATTGTACCGTCCTCCGCGACACGCGTGTAGAGGACCCCGATGAAATGCCTCGTAGTATTTACGGTGTAAGAGTGGTGTTTAATCATAGGGATGACCGCGTGACTGGGTTGGCTGAATCAATCGATGCACCTCGATGGGGTGAGCGGTGTTTATTTGTTGTGAGCGCTCAGGCTCCGATACGAGGCAACTCTGGGGCTCAGAAAGACAGCTTCCATCGAGATTTGTCAGGGTTGCTCCGGTCAGCGAGAACTGCAAATATTATTACCCTACTCGGTGACATAAATGCCCTGGTTGGCCGACTAAGTCACGAAGATGCCCAGCAGTCGATCCTAAGTCGACGCTCTCCGCGCACACAACCCGGAGCGGCTTCTTCAATTATGTAGTAGGAAAGCACTAGCTCGGTTCCGACACTTTCAGTGCCCAGCTTCTATGCCACCCGAAGGAAATACGAGGGCCGAAATAATACCAGGTTGCCCAAGTTTGAAAGAAGCAGTCAAGATGCTGAGGTTTAGTTCGAAACCTGAAGCTTCCGTTTTATAAGTTCGTGTCTCAGGCACTGAGTTATCTCGAGTCAGAATTGTGTTGAACGTCACCCGTTTCTAGAAGGATACAAAATGTCAGCATAAGGGTTCACACCGTGTTATATGGAGGCCACCACTGTAATTCATCATTATCATCACCATGGACAGCAAGACATTAGTGTTCAACACTGACGCTTCGCTGTTGTACAACCATGACAATTTGAGAGCCTCATTATGAAGAAGAGAATAGAAGTGGATGGGGAAGGGACTTAGTGTCAGCTTACTACAATCGTTACGAGGTACCTACACCTCCAGCCACTCATTCAGGCAAACTCGATAGAAACTGACAGCAAGAACGCCATTGACATCGATTAGCGGCCATATATTGTGTATCCAACCAGAGGTAGTGAGGATCTCGAGGTCCTCATCGTGTACGGCGAATAGCAGTGAAAGCACCCAAACGTTTTGTAATCTCCTTCATACCCCTCGGCCAGATCAGGGGTTGGCCACCTCTCTGCTTCCGCCCTCTGAATTGGGCACGGAAAGCAGCCCTCTCCTCGGCAAACGAAGGTTCGGCACGTGCAATACATGGCCTAACCAAAGCAACTTCTCGTGCTGGACATATCCATCAATGGAAGCCCCCGTGGCTTTCTAATCGCCTCGTTGCGGATCCTCCAACACCAATCCACACGAGCTATGGTTCTGAAACAACAATTGCCGAGCACATGAAGATGTCTCAGTTCCGCTGCTCGAACCAAGTCCCACACACACACAATATATCCTGCACTGCAGCATGATACACACGTCCCTTGAGACTCAGGAAGACACCACTTTGACGCCATAGGTATCTCAAGTTAGCAAATGCGACACAGGCCTTGCAGATTCGTGCAATGACCTAATGTCACGTACAAAATACGTGAAACGCTCTCCATGGATTGTAAGTAGTGCGTTTAGTGACTGTAGGTTCAGAGGGATGACTTTATACTTTGTGAGTGCAAACTGCATGCCAAATGACGGGATGACTTTGATTAGTTCATCCAAAAACGCTTGCGCCTTCTTCTCCTCTTCGAAGACGAGAACGATATCATCTACATATTCCACATCGACAAAGTTTTCGTCACAGGGTTTTAGAGACATTCCAGTGTTTGTCTCATTATCTAGTTGACCGCAAAATTAAACAGCAATGAAGAGAGTTGGCATCCTTAACGGACAACGCTTTGCGTACAGAAACTTTCGAAGTGCTCTTCGTATACCCACATCCGGAGAGTTGGCATCCTTAACGGACAACGCTTTGCGTACAGAAACTTTCGAAGTGCTCTTCGTATACCCTCACACATCCGGAAGTCTGAGAAAACAAACTTCCAGGGCATCCCTTGGTGGGCCAGTGTACCAAGGAGAACAGACAGGTCAACGGAATCGAATGTACCTTGGAAAACCGGAAATACTAAAATTGTGGGTCGTTTGTACGTATGACGTTTATCTAGCACCTGACAGAGTGTGGAGAATCGGTCAACACAACCTC